TATGTATGTATGTATGTATGTATGTATGTATGTATGTATGTATGTATGTATATGTATGTATATATTCTTAAGTTTTCACGGGTATGTATATATATGGTATTCAGCTTTGTTCGGGTATTTTCCCACGTCATTATAGTTGTGCTTTTAAAGTTGTAGCAATGTTTCGGCAGAATCTCATCTGCCATCATCAGGCTTCATCAGAAGATTCTGCCGAAACGTTGCTACAACTTTAAAAGCACAACTATAATGACGTGGGAAAATACCCAAACAAAGCTGAATACTCTGTGTGTGTGTGTGTGTGTGTGTAAGCTTTTCGGGGGTGAATTAATTTCTTCCCCCCCACGCACAAGCCCCGTCTCCAACAAAAGCATCTGAGTCGCTCCAGCTTTTCCCCCCGTCCCCGTAACAACAGGAAAAAAAAAATTTGAGGTACCTGGGAGCACCACGTGCTGCGTTTTGGTTTAATCCCGAGAGGCTGGGTGGGCGTGAGAAGAGCCGAGCGAGCGTCTCTGCTGCTGCTACCCTTGATGCTCCAGCCTCGGGCTCTGCAAGTTTGCAAAAGTCCCGGTGCGCTGCCCGTTCCTGCATTCCAAGCGCCCAGGCCGAGCTGCAGCTGTCCCTCTCTCGCCAGCGCCGTCTCCAATAACAGCGGCAGCAGCGGCGGGAACTGTGGAAGTTACGGAGGCGGCTCCCCCACCCGAGAAGCGGCTGAAACACTTCCACGGTTCCCACCGCTGCTGCCGCTGTTGTTGGAGAAGGCGCTGGCGAGAGAGGGATAGCTGCAGCTCGGCCTGGGCGCTTGGAATGCAGGAACGGGCTGCGCACCGGGACTTTTGCAAACTTGCAGAGCCCGAGGTTGGAGCATCAAGGGTAGCAGCAGCAGAGACGCTCGCTCGGCTCTTCTCACGCCCACCCAGCCGCTCAGGATTAAACCAAAACGCAGCACACGGCGCTCCCAGGTACCTCAAAATGTTTTTTTTTCCTGTTGTTACGGGGACAGGGGAAAAGTGGGAGCGACTCAGGCACTGTTGTTGGAGACGGCGCTGGCGAGAGAGGTGCCAGCACCGGTGGGAACCGTGGAAGCTAGGGAGGCCTGAGAAACGGCAGAAACGCTGCCAGACATCCACGCCGACGCCGCCCGCCTGCTGACCCGGGTAAAGGTGGGGTAAGGGAGCCCTCTGTGCTCCACCATGATTGGCTGTTAGGAGCGGCTGATGGTGAGGCGTAGCTGCCCACGGGGCACTCTTAGTGGCAAGTTCCCCCCCACCTTCCCCCCCCCAATTTCGAATGTTTTAAACTAGGCCTAAATTTGGGGGGAGGGGCTTAATTTCATTTTATGCCTAGAAAACATGCTGGGTCTTCCTATTGGGGGGGGCTATTGTTGGAGAAACACGACACACACACACACACACACACACACACACACACACACACACATATTCTTTATAATAAAAGTGATGCGATCAACCAAAAATGAAATACATCTTGGAATGAATTCAAACAAAAATACATACTTTGAGCAAGGTGCATAGGGCAGGTACAATACATAACAATGATTGAGGGTTTATTTATTTATTTATTTCTATTCCATCTTTATTATTTTTTATAAATAATTCAAGCGGCAAACATACCAATACCTAATATTTCTTCTTCGTACTATTTTCCCACAACAATCACCCTATGAGGTGAATTGGGCTGAGAGAGATTGACTAGCCCAAAGTATCGCACGCTGGCTTTCATGCCTAAATCAGGCCTAGAACTCCTAGTCTCCTTGGTTTCTAGCTTGTGCCTTAATCACTAGACAAAACTGGATAGTGTTTAAAAACTGGATAGTTTTTAAAAAACAGGTAATTCAGAGACTGTCTGAGGGGCAAAAAGTAATGTTTAAATGCATGCCATATTGATAAGAAATAGACTTTAAACTGATCTGTGCATCCTAGCCTTCAATTATTTCTTGAGTCTCCAAGACCCTCCTTTTATCCCAACTTCTTCCAAATTAAGATATTTTGCTAAAGTAAGCATCTTAATTATGTATCCTAGGAAGGGAAAATTCTGCTATGAAATTTCAATAGGCATTTGCCTTTCATTTTCAAGCCCTACAAAAGTACCTTACCTTTTCCACAGAAAAACAGCACAGTATCACACAGGTCATGTGTGCCTCACTCAGTCTAATAGGGTTCGCTTTCAAATAAGTGCACAACAGCCTTTAAATACTAGATATAGGCTCTTTCAATGGGTGAGCAACCTTCCAGCAGCTGAGACCCACCCTTTGGAGCAAAATGAAGGCAATGGGTAGGTTGATGAGGCAAGTGGTTGGGGCTGAGATCTGGCCCGAGTTTGAGGAATGAATGTTGAGATCTGTCTATTATTTTAAGGCTACTTTACTGCTCGCACTATATATTTCCTGCCTCAATTGCAATCCCACCCAGCAAAGCACTCATAGTAAAGGAGTATTGGTCAGGATGGGATTCAAGGACCAGGAAAATATACAACTGAAAGTTGTCCACTTGTGCTTTCCACGAAAATTGATTCTCAGAGTATTCATTTTGCATTTAAAGTAATGCCTTATTGTGTTAAAGCCCACTCAGAAAAGCAGAATTCCTATAACCTTGTTGAAATATATATATTTTGTTTCTTTTTCCAGCTCAAGTTATACAACCTGTGATATAAAATGAGCAGGATCAGAGGCTTTCTGTTATTTCACCTGATCACATTTATTTTATTTTCAACTTTATTTGCCACCCATCTCTCAGTTCAAGTGACAAATCATATATCTTTCATAGTAACACAAAGATTACTGGCACTTTTATGCCAGAAATTGCTTCAGCATAAAAAACATTTTACTGAATTTGAAAAACATGAACTTGTTCCCACTCCATTCTGTCTTGTGAAGCATGAATGTTGATATTGGATTAAAATGATAATGATTTAATACTGCATTTGTACTAGAATGAGAAATCCTTAGTTTTGGTTATGGTGATTGAAGCTTCTGAGAACTATACTACCCAACTCCTAGTTCTGCAATGATAAGGAAAAGTACTGTATTTCATGTCAGTTTATGGATTAATTTTTTGGGTAGACAAATGGCATCCAGCCCCCCTAAACTATGACATCCCATAATATAGAATGGAGCAAGTCATGCTAGGAAAGGATCAGCTATTTCATTCAAACCCAAGTTGCTGGCTGATTTTCTGGATCCCATCAAATCCAGCTTTTCTGGATCCCATCAAAGACAGTGCAAGTGGGGCTGAGTAATGCATGGACAACAATGAAACTGGAAAGGCTGAAACATGTGAAGAGGAAAAGAAAAACACACAAACGAAAAGACGCAACTGCAAAAATCCAGTTTTGACTGAGAGAGGCCTGAGAGGTGAGCACACCCAGCATGTGCCAGCAGCAGCGTAGGAAGGAAAGAAACAGAGAGAGAGAGAGAGAGAGAAAGAGAGAGAGAGGAGAGAAAAAAAGCCATGAGTGTTATGAATGCACATAATATACAAATGTTGGCTCCACTCTGACACCCCACAATTCATGACAAAACCATCCCACCCGGATTCTACAATAAGCAGCACATAATGACACCAAAGACTCTTAAAAAGCTACAAGACAAAACTACAAATAGCTGCATTGCAGGAGAACCCAAAACACTATTACACAAAACACAAGACTTGGAAGCAATGCCCATTTTCATCAACTCTAAACTGAAATTCTACTCCAATTCTTGATGCATTGCATTTTGATATTACTATACAGTACTATTACTCTTTAAGATTTTAAAATAGTTAGACCTGCCCATTCTACTCATTATAGGGCCATACAATCACTTACCAGGGCATGCAGCTTCTCCTCCAAATCCTGATTTGTTCTTTGTGAAGCTGTGTAACTATTTTGCAATCTAAGATATAGAAGAGTACCCATGTTACCGAATAGGCACAGAAGTTTCCCCGGGGTGAACACCAGATATGACATATTATACAATGGACTGTGGTATTGTATTTATGGCATGCCTTAAACTCTGCCATGTTTAGGTATTTCATCTCCTTCTGCACTAAGCTGCAGGAAGCTTGAGAAAGGAGGTAAAAAATTGGGGAGAGGGTGTAAGAAGGAATAGAGAACAAGCTTGAAAAGGAGAAATTATTAAAATTCACTCCAGTAAAAGAGCAGAAATGTTGAAGATTATGATCAAGCTTTCAGATAAAACTCCCAATCCTGTATGGTAGAATACAGTTATCAGTAAAGGTTAATCTCTGTCTCTTACTTCACCATCTCATATTCCCCTCCACCTGTGAAGTTGCTATACTAATGATTGCACATTTGTCTCTATTGCCCCAGTTTCTAAGCTGATGATCCATGTGTGTTTACTAAGAAGTGGACTCTCAGCTTGGTTTAAACTACGGTATCCAGGCCTGGCTACATCTAATAAACATATAATAAATAAATATTGATAAGCAATGAGAAAGGACACCTTCCCCCTACAACAGTAAGGCATCACTCATGTCAACAACTTTCCCAAACGTAACAAAGCCCTAGATTAGTATTTCTCAATCTTGGCAGCTTGAAGATGTGTGGACTTCAACCCCTAGAAGGGGTTCTGGCTGGGGAATTCTGGGAGTTGAAGTTCACACACCTCCAAGTTGCCAAGGTGGAGGTACAGTGATCTAGATGATGGAAATAAAATGTGATATATCCCAACAGGTATCACTGATTTCAAGATTCAACTCCAATTGAGACAATGTAGCCATCATATTAGGGAGTCATGGAGAGACATTTGGATTGGACACATGCCTTTCACAATATTCAGTAAAGCTCATTTCTTTCTCTGTTTCCAGCTCCCTATAACTGTCTTCAGTTATTAACCAAGGTATTAAAAAGCCTGACCAAAGAGCCTCTATGTAATTACAATACAGCTCTGTAAGTCTATGGGTCTTACATAACATTAAGCTATCCAATAGCAAGCCAAATGCTAAAGGGGGGAAAAAATCCAGCTTTGTAAGTGGTGTCTGCATGCCTCAGGACACACATTTCACATAGAACAATTTCCCTGTACATAATGATCTACAAGAGAATATAGAAGCCTGTGACTTTCCATATGCTATCAAACAACTACTATGAAGAATAACAGCCAGAAGCTATTGGGAATTGTAATTGAACAACACCTGGAAAGCCAAAGGTTTGCATGATTTCATTTGCAGTATTTCTCTAAATGGCAGAGTATGCTAAAATATATTGCAGAATAAGCTAAACACTACCAACTAAGGAACTGGACTGCTTTGTCTCCTCTCCTCCTCCCCCACCTGATGTTCTAAAAGACACATACCTACGGAATTTGTCTTTAAATTTTTCTAGCTCTTCTCGATTTTGGCCCAACTCCATCTCCAGGTAGTCTTGCCCAGACTCCAACTCCCTCTCCATTGCTTCCATTTTATTGGTGACATAGGTCAGACGTCGACGCAGCTCCTCATTGTCATGCTGCAGCAACCTAAGGTACAAAAAGCAGAAACTTATTTCCAATTAAACTACAGGAAACTTTGCTGCCAATATAGCAATGTGCCTCTGAACAAAGTTCAATTGCATTTCTGGAATCTGGAAAGTTAAAACAAGATAAATACATAAAACATAGCTTCAATTGTCACCTAAATTTAGCTGCCAAGTGAAAAAATGAGCTTTATAAATTGAAAAGTTGCTTAAAACAATTGGCTAATTATAACTCACACACATAGGCACCCAAAACACCATCACTTCCGCATAATATCCACAAGTCCTGTGGACAGAGAATTTCAGTCTTTTTTCTTTCGAGTTGAACATCCAAGGTTCCTTCAGTCTGTGCTCTAGTCTCTATATCATCGTCACCCTCCTCTGAACCAGTTCTAAATTATCAATCAATCAATCAATCAGAATAGAGCTGGAAGGGACCTTGGAGGTCTTCTAGTCCAACCCCCTGCTCAAGCAGGAGACCCTATACCATTTCACATAGGTGGCTGTCTAGTCTTTTCTTAAAACCTCCAGCGATGAAGCCCCTACATCTTTACGGAAATGTCATCCCAGAATTATATATGTGGACTCACCAATGTGTAGTAGAGGGGAATAAGGGCTTCACACATCTTTGATACAATATTCCTCTAACAATTATCTCACACTAACTTATGTTAGCTTGTTGACAATGAATACACACAAGTCATTCTCCATTATGGTGCTTTCAAGCCAAGAATACTCATCTTTTAGGCATATCATGCATTTTTCCTCCCTAAATATAACAACCTACATTTTTTCCCTTTTGAAGAACGACTTGCTTCTTTTCAGTCCAGCCTTCTAAATAGTTCAAATTAGTCTGCAATCTTGTTCTGCCACCTAGGATTTTAGCCAGATCTTCCAATTTTGTGTCCTGTACAAATTTAGTAAGCAGCTCATCAATCTCGTTATCCAGATTTTTTTATAAAAATGCAGATTAATACTGGCTGTAAAATAGATTCCAATAGTTACTGCTTTGTAACACGATGTAGAACCATTCATGCTGATTGCCTGAGCACAGTTGACCATCTGCTGCAGACCAATCTTACTGTGGTGCTATCCAAATTATACTTCAATACTTGTCGAGAATGCCATGTGGAATCTTGTCAAAAGCTTTGCTGGAATTGAGGCCGGCTATATCCACAGCATGGATAGTAAAATAATTGACTTGCAAAGGAGATGAGTTCTGTATCACATGACCTATTTTTATAAAAAGCTTGGCTTAGCAATTGCAGCATTGTGTTCAAAACGGTTACAAATGACCTCCTTCACTATGTTGCCCAAACATTTTTCCAGGTACTGATGTTAGGCTTATTTAATCTAAAAAAATCAGAAGGCAAGTAGTCAGTCGAATACTATATTGGTATGCCTGTGATGGTTAAAGATGTAGGGGTGTATTGGGGGGAGGGAATTCCTAAAATGTTACTTGTGAAATACAAAAGTATATAGCTTTATTTAGTATATATATATTGCTTTTCTAGTCAGATTTTTGTGACTGGTTTTATTTGCTACAGGAGCCCTTTGGGTAGGCTGATTCAGCCTTCCATCCTTTCAAGGTGCCGGTAAAATGAGGATCCATATTTTTGGGGACAATATGCTGACTCTGTAAATTGCTTAGAGCTGTAAAGCACTAAGGGGTGATATATAAGACTAAGCGCTATTGCTATTGCTATTTGGATAGTATTAATGATAGTTTTTCAAAATTACTAGCATGTTATCAGATGAGAACGTTAAGATGAAAGGAATTTGGGATCAAAAAGAGCATGCAAGACCAGGTAAATCTTATGCACAGAATGAAGATGGCCTTAAGACTGTTTTAAGGAGCAAGCCCATCTGGGCACCAACATCAGTAAATGTGAGCAACTTGCTTTGGTCAGGGAAGGAAAATTCCATGCTTGATCAGGGGTGGGATTCTACCGGTTCTTGACCACCTCTGTAGAACCGGTAGCTCTGAAGACCAACAGACAGAGAGCATACATAGAACTGGTTCTATGTCTGCTGCTGTTTTGGCCCACTCACCTGCCCGGGCTCTTACCTGACCTTTATTTCCTGCTTTTTCAACCATAGCTGCTTTGCGCGACACAGTTGCGGTTGAAAAAGCAGGAAAAAAGTGCTTTTTCAACTGCTGCGCACCCGCATGCAGTGCTGCTCAGCTGTCCAGGCAGCTCATTGACGATATACACGCGTGTGCAGCAAAACGTAAAATCACCGAACCGGTAGTTATACCGGTCGGATCCCACCCCTGTCCTTGATCATTTCTTTACTACTCTACAGACAGGGAGTTTAATTCTAAAAAGTAGGTCACCTATCTATGCAAACAGTTCCTTCTTAGTTTACAGCCTTTAAATTAAGCACAGCAACCAGATGGAGCTAAATAGCTCAGGTATCTTCCCCTGAAAGTTGAAAGTTACTCAATAATGTATGTGTTCCAGGGAAAACTAATAACATTGCAGGAAGGAAAATAACCACCCCATTTTTACCTTGATTTCAATATTCATATTAAGAGAACTATCCACTTCTAAGTCACCAAATAATTTTCTAGGTGAAGATTCACATATTGGCTTTGGAAATACTGATGCATAAGGATTATATTGCCATATCCATACATTTACATCTATGTAATTCTCCCAAAGATTCAATAATTCTGTTCTTCACAGGGTTATCATCTGCAAATATTTTACCCAATCTTCCAAAAACATAAAATAATATTTTCAAGATACATAAATAGATGATCAAACTTACAATGGATATTGTTCTTAAATTAAGCTGTTACAGCAGCACTAAGACAAAGATAACACTGGAGTTTTAATTTAATAATTCTTCAGCTGGGTTTCTGTGAAGAGCATCCTTGGCAGTTTAAGCTCAAGTCAGCCATTATCAGCTCAACAATGATCAGCTTTGACAGACTTAAAAGTTATACATTAGTTCTTTTTAAGCATATTGAAAAGTTAACAGAGGAAAACTTAATTCACAACATCAGGAAATAAGCACAGATAATATAACGTGAAACCAGAAGTACTACAAACAGCTATGAAACAAAACAAGGTCCGGGATACTTACTTTATCCTTTCTGCATCTGTCAAGGGCTCCTACAGAAAAGAAAAGGAAACAGAATTAAGGTTTAATTAAAAGTAGGAACTAGTTATCAGAATAGCAAACTAAACCATACAAATGCTAAATGGAAAAAATAAGGGCAAGTTTGGATAGTGGTTTGTATCATGTCTTGAAACCAGGAGACTCTGCATTCTACTCCTGCCTGAACTCAGTTGGGCCAATCACTCTCTCAGCCCTAGGAAACAGGCAATGGCAAACTACATTTGAAATCTTGCCAAGAAAACTGCAGGGACTTGTGCAAGCAGATGCCAGAGGACAAGACCAACCTGAAAATCAGATTTCTGGGGAAGCCACAAACATTTTCGAGAAACTGCCTATGCTAGGCCACAACTGTGGTTATGAAGAGAGGACAATTTATATTAAGAACACAGATTATTCTGAACAAATCTCTCAGTCACAAGGCTTATTACACAAAAAGTATTTAGGATTTGTTTTATGGCAAATACACTGCTCAAAAAAATAAAGGGAACACAAAAATAAGACATCCTAGATCTGAATGAATGAAATATTCTTATTAAATACTTTGTTCATTACATAGCTGAATGTGCTGACAACAAAATCACACAAAAATTATCCATGGAAATCAAATTTAGCAACCCATGGAGGTCTGGATTTGGAGTTACACTCAAAATTAAAGTGGAAAAAAACACTACAGGCTGATCCAACTTTGATGTAATGTCCTTAAAACAAGTCAAAATGAGGCTCAGTAGTGTGTGTGGCCTCCACGTGCCTGTATGACCTCCCTACAGCGCCTGGGCATGCTCCTGATGAGGTGGCGGATAATCTCCTAAGGGATCTCCTCCCACACCTGGACTAAAGCATCCCCCAACTCCTGGACAGTCTGTGGTACAATGTGGTGTTGGTGGATGGAGCGAGACATGATGTCCCAGATGTGCTCAATTGGATTCAGGTCTGGGGAACGGGCGGGCCAGTCCATAGCATCAATGCCTTCGTCTTGCGGGAACTGCTGACACACTCCAGCCACATGAGGTCTAGCACTGTCTTGCATTAGGAGGAACCCAGGGCCAACCACACCAGCATATGGTCTCACAAGGGGTCTGAGGATCTCATCTTGGTACCTAATGGCAGTCAGGCTACCTCTGGTGAGCACATGGAGGGCTGTGTGCCCTCCTAAAGAAATGCCACCCCACACCATTACTGATCCACTGCCAAACCAGTCATGCTGAAGGATGTTGCAGGCAGCAGAACGTTCTCCACGGCGTCTCCAGACCCTGTCACGTCTGTCACATGTGCTCAGTGTGAACCTGCTTTCATCTGTGAAGAGCACAGGGTGCCTACCAGTGGCAAATTTGCCAATCTTGGTGTTCTCTGACAAATGCCAAACATCCTGCACAGTGTTGGGCTGTAAGCACAAACCCCACCTGTAGGCGTCGGGTCCTCATACCACCCTCATGGAGTCTGTTTCTGATCGTTTGAGCAGCCACATGCACATTTGTGGCCCGCTGGAGGTCATTTTGCGGGGTTCTGGCATTGCTCCTCCTGTCCCTCCTTGCACAAAGGCGGAGGTAGCGGTCCTGATCCTGGGTTGTTGCCCTCCTACGGCCTCCTCCACGTCTCCTGATGTACTGGCCTCTCTCCTGGTAGTGCCTCCATGCTCTGGACACTATGCTGACAGACACAGCAAACCTTCTTGCCACAGCTCGCATTGATGTGCCATCCTGGATGAGCTGCACTACCTGAGCCACTTGTGTGGGTTGTAGACTCCGTCTCATGCTACCACTAGAGTGAAAGCACCGCCAGCATTCAAAAGTGACCAAACCATCAGCCAGAAAGCATAGGAACTGAGAAGTGGTCTGTGGTCACCACCTGCAGAACCACTCCTTTATTGGGGGTGTCTTGCTAACTGCCTATGCTTTCCACCTGTTGTCTATTCCATTTGCACAATAGCATGTGAAATTGATTGTCAATCAGTGTTGCTACCTAAGTGGACAGTTTGATTTCACAGAAGTGTGATTGACTTGGAGTTACATTGTGTTATTTAAGTGTTCCCTTTATTTTTTTGAGCAGTGTATATTCTTTCAGTCAAAACTTAGGTTGACTTAAGCCTTTCCAGACATTTATTTATTCCCTTCTATCACCACAAACTATTCTACATTCAATGTAGCACTGTTGTTTTGGGATGTTAGCAAAATGCTATATTGTGCCATAAATCAGTATTAAATCAATTACTCTAGCAATCCTATCAATAAAAAAATAAGATAAATGATATTGCTATCAAGGACCTAGAACATTCTTTACCAACTCCTTTTTACAGAAAGGGTAGACTCACAACAAACTAAGATATTTTAGGCCAACAAAAATGAAACTATCTAAATTCATCCTCTAAATGTTATGGTTTGATAGGAATTTGAATCCAGATGTCCTCAATCGGTCAAGTGTTAAAACTTACTATTGCTTAGTATTTCTATTTACTTTTACTTCATAATTATCTTTCAAGGTTTGGGAAGCTTTGAATCAGAAATCCTCAGTGGTCCAAACTTTTAACTATCATAGTTTTCAATTGTTCCCTTTGTCTATGGAGGAGATTCTCAGTCATCCAGGTGATTGTTGTCCTAAAGGTGCTTTTTCAAAAGGCAACTGGACTTGCTTCGTTTTTCCTTGAAGTTTCACTTCTCATCCAAGAAGCTTCTTCAATTCTGACTGAATAGTGGAGGATGTAAATATAAATCCTTCCATCCTCCACCATTCATTAAGAAATGAAACATCCTCAAAATCAAGTCTAGTTACTTTTGAAAAAGCACCTTTGGAATAATTGCTCCTTCTCTTCTTGCTCATTGCTACTTTCAGCATATTTGTCACATATAGAATTGTCAAACAAGATATTCCACACTTTTTATTATTTGCTTTCACACAGCATTTGAATCAGAGGGAAAGGTGACTGATCAGATAGTAAGGAAGAGGAAGAGCAGGCATACGAAACCATGACAACAGAAGAAAAAAAAATCATTTAGAAGACCCAATATCTTCTTAAATCTGATATCAGAAATTACAGAATCTTCTGTTAGAGCATTTAACTTAAGAATTATTTTCCTTGGATAAAGGAATGAAAGATCTCAAGAACAGTGCTTAGATGAAAATGTGCATTTATTAGCCTGTCTGACCCAGTAAGTAAATTGCAGTAAATGCATTTAATCTTTTAAGCTACAACTTTGCAATCTTGCAATCAGATAACAACAGCAGCAGGATTTACTGTGTTACTATTCAAATTAATGCAAAAGAGGTGCTCTAAACTGACCACACAATAAAGGTGTTGAAAAAATGCCTTGAAGAAACAAACGAAAGCAATCCACATTTGAATATAAAGGGATATAAATTACCAGAATGCTTGAAAAGTTCCCATTTAAGAAATGGGCTGAGTTTACTTATTACATAATAAACTCTTTCCAAAGAAAACAAGGCTAAAAAGCTTTATATTAAATCCTCAACTGAGGAATGAGGGAAAAGCTCCCTTCCTATGCTTATTGCTACAACAGAAATGTATTTTAAGTGAAAGATTGGTTACTTATCCCCTCTTTCTAAGCACCTACCTTGTTAATAGCTAAGCTGAAAGAAAGAAATTCTAAGTGATATACTACCATTCCCTTGTTTCCAACACAAGGGAGGATAGGAGCTCTTTTTCTCCTCCAGATAGCCTCACACCAAAGTGACATGTGGCCAGGTGGATTGCAAGTACATACCGAGTATTCATTTTGGTCCTGCCTTGTATCATTTCTTCCCACCTGCTTATTTTCCATGAGGGTAGTTATTTTCCCTGAAGGTAGATGCTGTTGCTTAAAAGATACATTGACAAACTCAATTCCACTAGGTACTGCAACTGATATTGAGACAAATCCACCACCTGTTTCTCCAAAGACCAAAGCTTCTCTGTGCTGACCTTCCTCACTAGAGCAAGCTTTCTCCTTTGTCTAGATGTCCTGTCCATCTCCTCTGGAGTCTTCCTATGGCAGAATATTATTTCAAGGCCCCCTCGCCTCCATTCTTCTCTTCTCTTAGCTAGACAAGGGCTTTTCTTAGCAATCTGCTTAGTGCCCTCAAGCAGGCTTTCCTTCTGCCCTTTTCGTGTGGAACATTTGGAAACCGCGAAAGACTTCTGGATTCTTTCTTCTCCACTAACTTCACCCAAAGAATGCAAATAGACAGGACTCAGGACTCTGTGGGTGATCTCATCCAGGAACTTGGAGAACTGGAGCTTCTCCTGTCTTTTTTTGTCATTTCGTTGAACAAACTCTGAAGAGCTAACATTGTGACATTCAGATGCATGCCTGTCACGTCTCTTGAGGCAAGGTTGAAGGTCATTATACTGTTGTGATTGGTGGCTTTGGGTCAGGGTTTCTACTGAGTTGGATGTTCCCAAGCTTTGAGGCTGCACATTCAGCATCTTTGTCTGCTTCAAGATGCCTTTGAGAGGTAGGTGAGTGGTTGGAATATGGAATTTCCTTGGTGCCAATACCTCAGCAGGTTCTTTGAACATAAGAGAACTTCTACTTTTGAAGGAGCAGATTGGCTTTTGGCCTTCATCTCCAGAAGCCATTAGCGTCTCTACACTATGGCTCATGAACTTACTGAGCCACTTTTGGCTAGGATACTGAGAGTACTTCATACTCTGTTTCTCTACTTTCCAGCTGGGAAGTACAGCAGAAGATAGATTCCAACTCTTCAGGTTTAGCTCTCCTTGGCATAGTGCTACTTTCTTGTCACTACTTGACTCCAAAGACAAGGAAGGAAAGTTAAAATTGCAAACCTCCTCATACCCATCCACCTGCCGTTTAAGGTTATCTGTCCTGATACAGCTGAACCCCTTTTGCAGATACACCAGATCCTTAACTGCCTTGATGTCAGTTACCTGATTCTGCTCTGCCAAAATCACGCCATCATATTCATCACACAGAATGGGCAGCTCATGATGAATCTCACGATGTTGTGGTGGAGCCTTACGGTAAGGCTTCTTGGAAGGTACTGTGCTTGTCATTGTCTTTCTTGCTTGATTTTCACCACAGGTCACCTGCCAATAGCAGAAATTACAAAAAAAGAGTCATCGATGCCCCCAAAAGCCAAGCATGTTTTCATGAGACAATCAAAAATCTGCTGACTCACAATAGCCATATAATCCGAGAACAGAGGAAAGCTGCAGGCCAGAGTGTGGGAATAGTAACTGCAGTATAAAGAAAGAGCAGAAGAAAAAACACAGCGGTGTCAGCCCAGCTAGTGAGAGCAAAAGCAAGTTCATCCTTTCACTGCGTGTGATGTATACACACACACACACACACACACACACACACACACACACAGCATGTGTCCAGATTATATATAGCATATGAGAACAAACCTTGGAGCAAAATATTGATTGGGCTCTTTAGGAAAGGCCAAAAACGTTCCAGACAACAGTGACAAACTAGACAGGAGCTCTTGATCTAATGCTGTCAGAGCCAACAATGAACAGAGAATAAGATGCAGATATGAAATATAAGACAAGCTGGAATAGTTGTATGCTTGAATCAATTAAAGGTAAATTATTTTTGAATGAGAGAAGGACACAAACAGCCCAAAGAAACATCCGCTGTTAATTCTTCCTCAAAAGCCAAGGGCAAAGCCAAAGACAGATCCTAAATAGAAAATGCAAGCATTTTCAAAACTGAAGGTGGCTATTCATACAATAAATATCAGAGTAGTGACCAACAAATATCATAAAAATAGTCTAATATCCATAAAATGCACTAAAAATAAGTATTATCATATAGCAAATATTTAAAAAGCAGAAAACATACAGGATAGGCTTCACCTACACAGCAGTACAGTTCATCCACAAATGATAAATCAATTTCCCCGTTCTTCCCCAATATATATATTGCATAACTATATATATACCAGACATACTATGTAGTTTCTAATAGGGATAAATAGCTAAAGCTTATATGTTCTGCTAGATTAGGCTTTCATTATCTGTGATATAGCAAACACAGCATTTAAGTTACTATCAGATGGCACAACGAGCCTGTCAGCAAAGACGAGGTGCGTCTGACCCCTTTTGGAAACCAGGCAGGCTGGCTTCAAACCAGTATGGCCATGATAATCTCCCCAGAGTATTCGATGGTGTTGTAGCCTATCTCTATCTCTATCTACAGCATATCTATATTGCATTTAAAGAGTACTGTACATAGTATGCTATTATGCATGCTATCATCATTCAGGATCAATACAGAATTGTCTATTGACAATAACTGCAAGCAGAACTCACTTACTTCAGTTCATACTAAGGTAGAAATATAGCACGAATATAATTAATAAGATTGACATACCTATCTTGTAAAAACAATGCAAAGCATTGTAAGAAACTGACAAAGAATGCTCATAGCAAAGATCGGTAAGGTCAGAAGAGGCTGAAAAAAAAAAAAGAAATATTGTAAATCAGACAACACTTTGCAGAAAGGAGCTTATCTCCTTTGCAAGCAAGCAGTTTCTTGTCTATTTCCTCCTGTACAAGGAATGCATGTCCTTGAGCCAACAATGCAATAAGATCTAGTACTCATAGTCATAAGGGGCTTTGCAATCCTCAAGAACTAGCATGTTGCAATGCTTGGTTAAAGCAGACCAAAAGGTAAAGAAGAATATAGGGAGAAACACAGAATCTCCAAGGAATTTCATTCTGTGTAGCACTCAGAGTCACTCTTCCAAATTAAACAGAAATGTGAATGAAGCCATATTATTTCTTCTGTCCCTGATTCAATAAATATCCTGCTGTATAAATGGAGGTATGCTACTGTATATTAGAAACAATATTTTACTGTAACCATACAATCATAGGAAAACTGGACTTAGCAACAACCTCTGAGAGAGAACTAGTAAGCTGATGATCCATAAAAATTCCAGTAGAATGCAAAATCGTTGGGCTATTTCTCCCATCTTTTAATTCCACTATTTAAAAAAAACAAAGATTTTATTTTATTCACCAGTTGTTAGAAATTTCATAGAATTAAAATGGCTATAAATTCACTCCTTAAAGTATCATTGAGAAAACGTGTCTTACACATATAATTTTTCTAAAACTTAGCAACAATTTGCATTATAGGAGTCACAAAAGTGATGACTCTTGGTATCGGAAGCCTATCCTCAGAAAGCCTTTCTCTATGTCAATATTTCGCATAGTAGGAAGGATCCTGGTTCAGTAATAAGATCACATACTTTTAGTCTATCACACTCACCAGTTTAAAGGATCAGCTGCCCATGATAGGAAATACAGTACTGGAATAGCTGAAATTAGTATAGACAATACTGGAGACAAGACAGCTCTGAGTTAGCTGAACAAATACTCTGATCTAGCATAACGTAGCTTCTTTGGTTCATCTCCCCCATATCAGGAACAACATGAAGCCTCCTTGAAGAAATAACTGAAATGGAATCTTATAGAGAGAGGTGCAGTCCTCAGGCTACATGAAACTTATAGGCAATGCTCACAGTTATGTAATGGATATACTGAAATACTTACCAATCTGGGTTCTGATCTGAAGTCTGAAAAAGGCACTCAATCCAAGGATCTAAGAGTTGGGAGGAGAAAAAGACATCCAGCTTATCATGAATACCTCCTCTATCTCAAATGTTTCAGCTTGAGGAACCTGCAATTTCTGTTGTTTTAAAGCACTCCCAACACTGAAGTTGCAGAACACCTACTGAAGTAAAGTACTTTATCCACGATTGAAAATATTCTGTGATCCAAATAGGACTATAAGGATTCTTTCAGTTTACAAACTTTACTGTTTGTTACAACTGGAAGATAGAATCTTTAAAAATTAAGCTGTGATTGAGACCAAATTATATTCAGTCATGAATATGACCAGAATGGAAAATAAGCTTTTACATCAACAAGAGGATAAAGGAAAATTCTATTCTGAGATGCCTAAATAAAGATTTCATTTTCAAACTTTTTTGTTTGTGAAATTTTTTTGTACAATGTGCTAGTGTTCAAGCATTTTATTGTATAAAACCAAGTTTTAAAGGCTGGTTTCCCATCAAAGACCACCTGTGATGCCATTTCCCATTTTAAAAAAAATGAGGTTCTGAGGTACAATCCTCCCATCTTCCGTGCTGTATATCCAAAGGCCTAAAAAGCAACCTGTACAAATAGTAACTTAGAACTGCCATACTTTAACATTTGACCTAAACTTAAATATGGTTAATTTGCAAATGACACTGAAAAGATTAAGTAGAAAGACCTCAAGCTTCAAAATTAATAGAGCAGGAAGTCAGCAAGGCTTGTATAAGCTGCTGAAACAAGTCTTATAGATGCCCTGCTATTGGCCTTGCCCCAACAAGTTTGTTGGCCCCTTTCCTTACTACAGTGTTTTCTTTGGGCCTCAATGAATACAGAATAAACAATCTCACAATAGCACAGCTGGGGAAAAAGCAGCTCAAAAAAGGACTCACGATGTTTTGCAATTCCATACAAGTAAAGAAAAACTTTCTGAACATCTTTTTTTTAAAAAAAAAATCTTATGTATGAGGAGGAAAGCAGGTATAAGATCTGTCCTGGTTAATTCCTTTCCTAAATCTCAGTTTATATCTACCAGGATTTTCTGTACTTCCTGCTGTGAATAGCCCCCAAGATTAATAGAATATAAATAATTCTTAATTATTTATCAGCATATCTTAAAAATATTGTGAAAAGCCATTTTATGAGGATGATTATTAATTCATTGATTTATTATGGAAATGTTTGGAAACAAACTAATTGCAACTGGTAGGAAAATCCCAAGGGAAAGCCAATGTGTTGAAGTTTATTATCAAACCTGTGCTCCAAGAGATTATTTCCTCTAATGTTATATTACTTACTACCATTATAGCTGCACTGCGCAGTGGAGCCTCTCCTAATAACTGGTGGATTTTCCAGCCTATCTATCATAGGGAAACAAATTAGCCCCCACTGAAGTTTATTTTAAATATATACTAAATAGGTTGATAGTAGGGCTAGTTGTATGGTTTTTATTGTACAAATAACAAAATGATTGGTCAATTAATGCATTTGGCATATTTTGTTTTTCTTTTTACTTTAAATTTAATGCAATGGATTTAATCCTACATAAATTGGTTCTAGAAGAAAAAATATGATCTTGGTTATTCTATTATAATTTCATGCAAGGTAACATACTATCTTTCATTATTATCGTTTAAGGAAAATAGCAACACATGGCACCATTTTCCTATTTTGCTAATTTAAATTAGATTGCTGAAGGACTACCCTATATTCTACAGTATGTGATAGACAGGGAATTTATTTTACTGAAACGTGATCTTTATTTTCTTTTAAATAAGGTGTATTTGTTTGCTTGTTTATACAATAATTCAAGCCAGTCCTTGATATCTGCCAATCAAAATATTGCCAATTAATTTTACAGCTCAGCAAAGATGTACCAAAAAGGTATAGAGGTATAATTCCTATATATGTCAACAGTCTTGTTAAACTAGAAAAAATAGTTTTGTTGAACTAAAATGGCAATGACTTTATAATGCAAAGAGAATAATCACAAATTATATATAAAGGTCATGTCAGGATTCATCATATAATTTTTGCAAAAAGAACATTAAATACAATTTACTTTTGTAGTCAAAACAAAATGTTTGTACTCTTGTTAGTACTGTATGCTTTCAAAGCTTTTGATTACTTAAGCTGATGTTATTGCTATAAAAAGCTACGTTCTGAAAATCCTTTATGATTGCGCATAATTCAAACATAAGCAGATCAAAAGCCATTGTTTAGGGAAATAACATGACATCAAAAAGCTTAGCCTGTTTAGGGGAATAAAGAAAGGGATTTTTTTCTTCCCAATTGAATCACTAGCTAGATTAATAAAAGCAGCAGTCAAAATAAAAGAAATAAGATAAAAAAATAATCAACACAAAAACAAATTAACCATACACATAAATTGCTTTTCATATTTAAGACTTTACACAGTTTAGACTTTTTAATCTTAAGAATTTTGGATGCATTGATTTAAAAATAAATCTGAAATGCGAAAACATCATTTAATTCAAAGAATTAAAACAATAAGGAACTAGAAAAAAAATTAAGTCACTATTTCTTGATTAGACACTGTCCTCTAAATCACCACCTGTTGTCTTATTTCAAATGCTGTCAAACACCCTAACTTAATAAAATGGAAAATAATAATAAAAAATGTAGCCATGATAATAACAAAAAATATAGCTTTCGAAAAATAAAAAGCAAAAATGACATTAAGCTATTAAAACTAAGGAATTAAAAATCTCTAATTTTGTTTGAGAACAGCTTCTTACAAAACAATTTGTTTCCATCAGATAAATAGGTCATAATTCACAGTCCACTTTATATGGCTTTTCCATAGGCTTGGTGCCCATGGGCAAAAATATTTGTTCACCTTACTTATACATGACTGCATCTTTAGAGCAGCCTTTTCTGATGACTCAAATGAGTATCACACATTTGTCAGTGGGGAAAAACTGAAGAACCTGCTACAAACAAGTAGCCTGATTCAACAGAAGTATGAACAAATTTTCCTTAAAAATAATCATTCAGGACAAAACTTTGCATAAAATATCAAATATCTTTGAGATTTGTTGCATCTTTCTTTCAAAAGGAACCAAAGTCCAGGTATTTATAATATACAAGAGTACAGAATAGTACCTAATCTAAAAGCATATGGGAAATAAATTAGGGCAGGGACATTTAAATTCACCTTTGGGAAAATATATCGTTCGATACCCACCTACCTTATAAATCCAAATAAAACAACCCAGGAAGAATAAGGCAATCAAAAATATTAGTCAATGATATCGCCTCCACTATTACACTATACATTCTATCATGTTTCTCTTCCACTGGAGAAGGGATTTTTATTTACATACGTGGCTTAAATGTCCTGAAATATAGCAATCTGGGGATCTAGTAAAGAAAGTAATCTCAGGCATTATACACCGGAGAATTACAGCTTTATCACTCCCCCCTTGATGTTTTAACACTTTTATAATGTGTATGAACAGTGTATTTTATGCTAAGAGCAGCATATATAAAAACTGCTATGTATTGGAAATACTATGAGGTGAATTGTTCCATTAAGGAATTGCACTGAGAGAATAAAATTAACTGAAAGAAAGTTACTACTTTTGTCAACATATCAAAGCGACATTTTGGGGGATTATAAAAATCCTTTCTAATATATATCTTTAGGCAGACCTTTGATAAACAGAACAGGAGGATCTTTGTATCAGTTCCCATAAGAAACATGGAAGTGTTCATGTAGAACAATTTATCTTTTTTTACTGTTACTGTAAGTACATATATATAAAATTAAACATTTAAAAATATTTTAATTGCAGGCCCTTTGGGGGATGCTTTCCCCTTCTGGATTTAGGGAATAAGCAATCACAGAAAAGAACTTTCTGCTAGTGCTTCTCTGGTTTCATCTGTCATTTCAGTCCCTGGCAAAGGACTCGCTATGTTCCCAAATAGTGCAAAACATTGAATTGTGCTAGTTTCTTCTCTAGTGCTGGTGTTTCCCTGTAACATTGTTGCTGTTGTCTTATTCATTTGTTGAATTTCTCTGCAATCAGTTTTAATGTGTTTGTAAATACCTTGCCTAAGATCCGTGTTATTGAAGATAAGGGACGAAGTTTGGATTCCTAAAAAGGATTCCTGGAAGCCCAAGGGATGATGTTATTATTTCCAATTATCAAGCCCTGCATAACTCTTTTCCTTCTTTCTGGATTACATTATGTTATAGCAACAAATGCTGGAAGTTATGCATGTACATACATACCTGCATACATGCATACATACATACATGTATGTATATGTTTGTATATATGTATATAAAATAATGAGAAAAAAATTTGTTAAGTAATTCCAAATTTTTCTCATTTGGTAAAGGATTCTCAAGTTATGGACCTAAATCGACAATAGCAACAAT